AGAGTTTGGTATTGTCTATTACATTTCTATGCACAATTATAGTTCAAGAACCAAGTTTTTCAAGTCATACATAGAAAGGAGTTTCCTGTGTTTGCCGTTTCAATAATCAATACTGCTTTCTGTCTTGCCAGAATTCTCCTTATCTCTAAATTTGAATAAAAAATATTAATAATATTTTAAGGTAAAGGTGATGATGAATATATGAATGTAATTGCCAGCTCTAGTTTCTCTTTGGATGGGAATCATTCCACTTTCTATTACTTCCATGTTTTCTTCTCTCTTTCACTTATTTTTCTTCCTTTATTTCAACAAAATTGAAGACCAGACGCTATGCTCAATGTTGAAGACATGGCTCCCACAACTTGCAATGGACTAATAGTGATAAGGGTACAAATCAATAATTTAATCTACTCTGAAGAAGCAGTAAAAGGGTTTAAGTTCTCTAACCCCTGACCCTCCTAAACCTTCTTAAAAACACAATAGGGCCTAATGTGATTACTTACTTGGCCAATCTTGTCCTTGCAAATGTCAGGATCCCATATGTGTACCAGTTTACATCCCGGTCCTTTTACTTCCTGTGTGGCCTGAGAAAGCAATAGAGGATGGCCCAAATCCCTGGGACCCTGCACCCTCGTGGGAAATCAGACAAAGCTCTTGGCTTCTAGTTTTGGATCAGCTCAGCTCTGGTTTGCAGTCATTTGGGGAATGAAACAATGCATGGAAGATCTTTCTCTCTGTTTCTCCTTCTCTCTATATATCTATGTTTCCAATAAAAATAAAATAAACATTTTTAAAATCTAAAAAAAATCACTGATTTTCATCACAGTCTGCTGTTAAATTTGCCTTCAAGAAAATGATTATGTGCAAAGTGACTATTGGCATTGATTAAGAGACTGTTTAGTTTAGTCTTTTTTTTTTTTTGTAATAAGCATTCTTCCACAGTTTGAATACTATGGACATTAATCATTAAATTTTTTTCTATTATGTATCACAGAACACTTTAAAGTTATTGTTCTTGGTGAACAATCATGATTAAAGATGCTCTAAGGCCAAAAGACACCTCCCCATTGCCCACAAAAACTTTTCTACATAACTAATAAGGAATTAATATCCAGAATCTGTAAAGTGTTCAAGACACTCAACAATGTAAAAAAAAAATCTAGTTTAAAAATGGGAAAAGTAAAAGAACAGGAATTTTTCAAAAGGTGAAATTCAGATGGCCAGAAGGCATATGGAAAAAAAAATGCTCAGTTGACTAGCAATTTGTGAAATCCAAATAAAAACCATGAGGAGGCTTTAACCATGCTCCAGTTAGAATGACTATCATACAGAATTCAGAAAAAAAAAATAGAAAACAATAAACACTGCAAAGGATGTGGGAAAAAAAGATCCTTACCACACTTTGGGTGGGACTGTAAGCTAGTAAGATTGTGATAGAGGACAGTATGACGATTCCTCAGAAATCCAAAAATAGATCTTCTGTGTGACCCAGGCATCTCACTCCCTGGAACTTATTACAATGAAATAAAACCAGCATATGAGATAGCTCTCTGTACTCCCATATGTATAGCACCTCAGTTCATAATTGCTAAGATATGATATTAGCACTATGTCCATCAAATAATGACTGAATAAAGAAAATGTCATGTGGTATGGATTGCTACTCAGCCATAAAACAAATGAAGTCAGGACATTTAGAACAAAATGGATTCAGGTAGAAATCATTATACTTAGTGAAAAAAGCCAGTGTGAAAAAGACAAATATCATGTTTCTCCTGATCTTTGGTGACTAGTACAAGGAATATAAAAAAAATTATGATTTGTATGAGCAAAATTGTCTTTTTGAGGTTTGCAGCCTTTCTTCAATACTGTTGAGGAACAGTGATTTTTATTTATCTATCTTTTTAGAAATTTATTTATTTTGTGATATAATTCTGTAGGCTCGCAGATTTCCCCTTCTACCTCCCCAATTTTCCTACCTCCACTGATTTCCCCTTGTTTATTACAATGAAATAGTCCTTCAACAACTGTGAGAAGTCCAATTCTGTTCTATAAGTAAATCCTGAAATTGTAGGTGTAGACAATGGCAGAAAGTCCAGCATGCTAATATCGAGATATATTTAATAGTTTCATTGGAACTGTGATTTTTTTAGATGCTCTTATTTAATTCCTTACCCAAGAACATGTTAAGGCTGTGATTGTGAAATGACCTGATTGTATGGTTTGTGGAGAACAATGGCAGGAGAGTGGGTGGTGGGAAATATGTTTATGCTCCTAAATCTGTATTGTGAAATGCATGAAATTTGTTCACCCCATAGAAATACAATAATTCCTAAAAATATGTTTCCATCAGCAGAATCCAATAACAATAGGTATCCACAAAGGAAGAGCAACATATTTATGTGAATATGAGATTGTCTCTTAAATAGCTTCTTATTCAGGTTTTTCAGAACTGGTTCTGTGAAGAATTGAGCTTTTCCTTTACTATTTTCTTTAAGAAAGGCAACCCTGATACCACTAGATCTGTCATATGATTGTTAAGTTCCTTTCCACTTGAGCAAAAGGAAGAGTTGAAAGCTTATTTCTAAGCAAAGGCCATCTGGGAAATTCAGAGGATTCTGCACACACTTTTATCCTCAATGCCAAAATATGTTCTGAATATTAGCTAGATGGTTGCCTCCTGCTTCAATTTAGTTACCTAACGAAGCAATTCGTAGTCGTGGATAAATATGTTCAGAACCAAGGACCAATTTTTGTGTTGTTGTGGTTGGAAATGCAAACTTCTCACCACCACATCCCAATATTAGTGATGTGAAGACCTCCAGGTTATCTTTTCTTTGCTCTGGAATAGGTGATCCTCGTTAGAACTCATGGCTTCATGGTTCATGGCTTCAATCTGTCTCTACTTCAGCCCCCGCCCCAAAATAGCAGGAACAGGATAATCTATAGATGTGACTCATGTCTTATCTAGTAAAGGCAAGTGCTCCCAGTTCTTTAGGGAAAAAATTACTATCAGCAGGATAAAGATTGTTGTGATTATTTGTGATTAATAGTATCGTTCACACACACAATTATGGGGGAAGGGAAAACGAGCTTGATTCATTCGTGTAGCCAGTACGAATTGGATATGATTTTGCCGGATATTCTAATTTCCCCAAGTGCTTTCATGGAAAGCAGAATATTTGGCTCCCACGGCAGTGTGTGATGGGTAGATAAGGCAAGAATTTTCATCAAAAATGGTAGATGACAGTGTGGTGTTCCCCAAGCATGAGGTGATTCTTCACAGAGTTTCATAGATAACATTGCTTAAGTGCCTTGCAAATGACCTTTTCTGACTTTGAATGGGGTCTGGAAAACCTTGTTACACTCTCTACTAAACTATGTATGTCCATGGTCCAAACATTTATTTTCTATGGTTATATTACTCAACTAACAGTCTTTTAAAACTATCACAAAATAATTTAAACTGTTGTTTCATCTCTATAGATTTATTCTTTGCTAAACTCGTCTATATATGTATAAAGAAACAGAATCAATTTAGGCAGTTTTTTTAAATGTGTGGAAAATATGCCCACCAGCATGGAAGTAATTTAGTTGAACGTTATGTTTGCACTAAATGCTACGCCAGTTACCTGAAATAGCTCCATTGCTGGATAAATAACTACTGAATGATAGCTTTATGGTGCTGCACAGGGAAAGCACCTGAATCTATTTATTCCTTGCGCTCACACAGAATGGGATTGGAGGGGGATCCTTGTCTTGATGTAGTTGATGTGGGAAGCAGAGCATGAAGGCTTCCAAGGATGGCAGGCTTCTGTATTAAAACTGTTACATTTATACCCAAAATATTAATGGAATGAATCAAAGAATTTGGTTTTATATAATGTCTTAAACAATAATTGGCCCTGATCAGACTGAGAATGTTAATGACAATGAAGCACCATAGTGGTATGTTCTTCCTCCTAGGACGTGAATCATTCAAAGTGATTTATCATGTAACAGTACCATGTCATTCTAAATACAGGTTTGAAGACTTACTGTGTTCAGAGGTTCCAGAGTAATTTATCAAGGTTTCAACTTGATTCCCTCCTCTGTGGTGTTTCTGATTACATTAGTGGAATTCAGCAATCTGCATTTTGATTCTCTAGGCTATTCTGTTGCAGGTGGTCTAAGTTTCAGCACTTCAGTATTTCTGGAAAGTATGGCAATCGAATATAGTTTGGAAAAGAGAATTATGATTTCTAGGAACTGGGAATAGAACCTAGATATAATAGGTGTGGAGTTTTATCTGGGCAGAACTAAAGGTCCTGAGGTTATGTGTTAGCAGTACCTGAATGGACTTAAGCTAATGTGCTATAAACATTAAAAAATGCTATGCTAGGGCCCAGTGCAGTAGCCTAGTGCCTAAAGTCCTCGCCTTGCATGTGCCAGGATCCCATATAGGTGCCAGTTTTAATCCCGGCAGCACTGCTTCCCATCTAGTTCCCCGCTTATGGCCTGGGAAAGCAGTGGAGGATGGCCCTAGGCTTGGGACCCTAAACCTGCATGGGAGAACTGGAAGAGGCTTCTGGCTCGTGGCTTCAGATCAATGCAGCTTTGGCCATTGAGGCCACTTGGAGAGTGAATCATCAGACAGATGATCTTCCTCTCTGTCTCCCTTCCTAAAAGCTTGGTTCGATATCCCATTCTTACTAAATGCTATTAAAGAAACAAGATCTCCAATTTCAAAGCATCATAATTGTGGGCTGTAATAATACTTCATGATTTATGTGTAATAGAACTAAAACATTAGACTAAGTTTAAAAATCTCTAAAATTTTGAATTTGCTTTGCTAAGGAGAAAGCAGGTATCTTGTATCTGCGAGTTGATGAAATTCATGCTAGTGATCTAATCACTTAATTTTCATTCTGATGGTTGTTCCTCCAGAACAGATTTGTGTGATTTTGTCTTGCTTACTTTTGCAGTGGAAAACTGTGTAGTGATACTCATGCTCTTTTCAGGATAGGGTGTGGGCCAGTGTGGGGAAGAGCCTGAACTGCGTAATAGCGATGGTGGATAAATTGATCGAAAGAGACGATGGTGGTGAAGGCAGTGCTGACAGCAACAAAGATGGAGAGAAGGATCCTTCACTAGTGGATTCCATCATGCCTCATCCAAGGGGTAAGAAATCATTTTTCCCAACCACTGACTGAGTAAATAAAATGAGAAAGCCATGATAAAATGAGATAGAAGAAGAGAGTCAATAGTGCCTTTGATGGGAGTGCTGATAGCATGCTTTCCCACTGCCCTGGCGTAGATGATGGAAGGCTGTTTATCAAATTGCAGCTCAGTTGTGTTTCAGAGCCACTTGTAAGGCTCATCATTTTATTTTTTTTTTCTTACCTAAAAATCTTAGGGTAAAAAACATTATATTCTTCTAAAGGCTGTGACATGGCTTAATCTACTTTCACACATTCTTCCAAAATTTTATTAGGAAGACAAAGAAACATCTGATCTGTTAATTCTGAGAAACTTAGATATCAGAACACAGTCTTACATAACTACTAAATGGAATGCAATATGGTAGAATGTTTTCTGCCTGATTCCGGAAAATATTTTTTGAATTATTCCAAAAGCATTTAAGCATCTTGAATTCTGAGGAGTATGTTTTCCGAAAATATAGATAAGGTATTTTGCGGAATAAGGTACAGAAAGTTATACATGTGTGTGTCTATAGATAAACACTGATAAATAAAAGAGGTGATTTTAATGCTTCTTGGAAAACATGATGCCATTTTTAACTATAGTTATTTATATGAATTTGATTGTTGATCCCCTGTATAGGCACATTTTAGTGGATTATGTTGAGACAACATAAAAACAACCATCTACATTTCTTCATAATTGCAGAAACTTAAGACTTGCCTAGACCTCTTTTTCTTTGCTAAGAATTTAAACATGTTCAGAAAGAATAAAAGGTATTTCAGTATATTCTTTTTCCGAAGTATGTATTTTTATGAAATTGATTTAATGTTTTCCAATTTGCCTGATTTTTCATCACTCGTAATTACATCAGTTTAATCATGTAAAATATCAGTCTTTCTTCTCTTGATTTTTAGTAGAGTCCTTTAGAAGTCATATTTGTGAAATATGACGTTAAACGTTTTTCTTAATAGACAATCTCTCTTCCATTGTGCATTCACATAGGATAAAAGTTCAGATATATTTTTATGGTAACAGGTGGATCTATGAAGCTTTTCTTTCTGGTAATATTACTTATATTCGATAATTATGGTATAGGTCCATATATCTATGTATATCAAAAGGAAAGCCTGTCATAGTTATGTTATGAAGAAATAACATGCTTCATTTGTCCTTTATTGAGAATTTATTGACATCAGCTGTGAGGCAGATATTAATCTGTAGATTATCTATCGAAGGATCTGGACATATTATTTGGATTATGGATACTCAATTTTTGCTACATTTTTAAAATTAAAACACATGTTTATTTTGGTGGCAAAAGTTGAAATGTATTCATAGTCAAATCTCAGTATTGACAATGTTATGCTCTCAAAATTGAATTCCAAAATTGAATTACATATTTTTTTTAAATCAAGGGAGTTCTGAGTCAGAATATTGTCTTTCTCCAACTTTAAAATCATTTATGAGGTTGCACTAAATCCCTTAAGTAAATAAAATTTTATTCATACCCATGGTATAACCTAAAGAGCAAATCTTTTGGGATTCAAATATTCCTTCTTACCATTCTAACTCAGGAAATGTAATATTAAAAGTGGGTCATTATCATTACATATTCTTTTTATATGAAATTTATTTATTATTTATGATACAGTTCCATAGGCTCTGAGATTTCCCTTAATTTCTCTTACACCCTTACAATAGTATAGTCCTTCATAATCAGTCATAGGTTCATCATTCAGCTATTTTAGAGTATCCTTGTAGGTAGGGAAAACGACAGAGTATAGCATCTTAGTGTCAGGATGTATTTAATAGTTTCATTGAGAATCCATCTTTGATTTGGAAGTAAAGATGCCTGCTGCATTGCATCTTCACATCTGGTTGTGCTAGTTTCTATTACACAGTTGCTATTCATCCCCTTAAATGAAAATCCAGAAAACAAAGTAAAAAACAGAAGGAAAAAGAGAAAATTAATAAGACATAAAGTTAAGTAGCATGCTTCTGAATGATCAATGTGTCACTGAAGAAATAAAAATGAAAATCAAAAAACATCTTGGCTGCTGTGTGACCTATACGTCAGTGAGGAAATTAATAAGATAAAAAATGTTTTGAATGAATTAAAATAAAACAAAATGATTGTATATTCTAATGTACACTGGGTTGAAAGAAGGTATTCTTATTTGAAATATGAACCTGAAATTAAAGCATGTCTTTTTTATGTCAAGATCTTGGGAATTTTTTTTCTGTGAAAAAAATGTGCAACAATATACATAGGATTTTGAAATGTCTGGTTAAAAGTATACTTTTTCAAAAAGTATGTGAACATTTATGGAAAGCTCTTAAACATGAAATTCAGGAGAAATATTAGCAACCAGAGAACACATATGTCACCTGGCTACATCCTGTGTGGATATGGCAATAGAACTTGGACTTTTCATTTCTCAGGCTGGAGATAGCTGTGGATGAAATTCATGGCCCTGGAAGTCAGAAGTTCATTTTATCCATGACTTGCTGGCTGAAGGACTACAGCTCATTGCTTAGCATTCCTTGACCTCAGCTTCTTACTTGTAAAATGTAAATAATAAAAAACTCTGTCTCATGAGGCAGTAGTGAAAGTTTAATATAAGGTCTGCCAGCTCTGCTCAGACCAGGGATGGTCTCCCAATGAAACTGTTGAATTTATCTGGACAATAAGATGCTGGACTCTCTGCATGGTCCATGCCCGCAATGAAGGAATCATGACTGGATATGAACTATACTACTATAACAATATGGAGGAATTCAATATGGGGGGAGGGCTTTTTGGAAGGGTTAGGGGAATCCCAGAGCCTATGAAACTGTGTCATAAAACAAAATATATATATAATTAAATATATATACATATATAGTATATATGTGTGTGTATATATGTATATGTATGTACTATATATATGTAATACACACACACACACATATACAGTACAGGTTCTCAGGCTTGGTCACATATTTGAATCACTTCGGAATCTGCCATAAAGTGGCCCCAATAAAGTGGTAGCATAATATTTGCTCTTCAGTAAGAGTATGATTCATGTTGGCAGTTATTTTTGTTGTATGTGAGGTATTACGCAGCAAAGGTGTTTCCATTTGACTGCATTTTAAATTCCATGGGTAACATTGATCCACCAAGCCCTATTTGAGGCACCATAAAGTGTTTGATATGCCCTAGGAAACTTAGATTTTTTTTGCATCCTTAGATGACTGTGATGTGAAGCCAAGGTAAAGAATGGAATTGCTGTGCTACTTGCTGAATAAGAAATAGAATACATGTCTTTTCCTTAATGTACACAGAATCAAACAAAACATACCTGCAGATGGTCCGCAGACTGTAACTTAAATGGTTAGCCATGTACAGGGTCAGTGTTTCTCATGTTATGAATGCAGATCACATCTCTTAATAGCACCACATGATTACCATTGAAACAAATAGAACAGTCAATATCATCACTGCATTCTTTTGTTTGTTTCTCTGTTTCTTTTGTTTGCTTGAAACCTACCAGTGTCCATTATACTGTTTTTATATTAGATAATACATATTTTTTAATCAAAGCAGTTGCACTCTGCTCTGGAACAATAGGACTTAATTCTTCTTTAATGTTTTGGCCCTGTTTCCTCATCATCTCTATCCCTCCTTAACCCTGGTAACCACCATTTTAAGTTCAGATCTACTATCTAAATATGAGGGATAATGTATGATATTTATGTTTCTGTGTCTGACTAATGTCAGTTAACAGAGCAAACCCAGTCCTATCCACTTGGTTGTAAATGTCAAGATTTCATTTTGTGTTATGAATAAGACTCCATTGTACATAGTATAAAATATTTTCCTTAACCATATATCCAGCATCAACGTGTATTGGCTGTTATGAATAATGCTGCAATGAACGCAGAAGGGTGGATAGCCATACTATTTTCCATAATGATTGTCCTAATTAGCATCCCCACCAACATGCCAGAAGGTTTCTTTGCCTTTGCATTTTTATCAGCAATGTTATTTTGTCTTCTGGTGATGGCCATTCTAAGTGAAGTGTGACTATACTTCATGGTGGCTTTAATCTGCACTCACTGATGACTAGTGGTGCTGAATGCTTATTCATATATTTGTTGATTTTTTTATGTTTATTATTTGCTGTTTGTTCAGCTCCTCTGCTCATTTCCTAAATGGATGTTTTTGTTATTTTTTTGTTGAGTTTTCTAGATTCCTGATATATTCTGCACATTAATCATGTGCCTGAAGATTCATTTACATATGTTTTCAGCACTTATTTTAGTCCTCTTAATTTTGTCTGATATTATCGTATTTGTCTTGTTTTGATTTTCTTGCCTCTGCTTTTCATATATTAAAAACAAAGCCAATCTATAGCATTGTATTGGTGTGCTTACCTTTAAAGTGTTTTAAGTTCTTTCACAGTTTTATCTGTTTCATTTAGGTCTTTGATCCATTATGAGTGATTATTTGTGTGAGGTGAGAGGTAGGAGTTAAAGTTTAAATCTACATATTTGTATGCATTTGAGAAAACTACCTGTTTTCCAGTGTGTATTTTTAGTGCTTGTTGAATTTGAACTGCCTGTGGGTTCATGAAGTAATTCCAGCTTCTGTATTCTGTTCCGTTGTTCTGTATGTCTGTTTTTATGCAGCACTATGAGATTTTCATTACAGTAGCTTTGCAGCATATCTTGATATCAGACATTGTTGATCCTTAGTTTTGTGTTTTTGTTTAGGGTCTTTTGACTGTTTGGTATTTGTCTGCATGTGTATGTGCTTCCATATAAATTCTAGGATTGTTTTATAGAATTCTATGAAGAGTGTTATTGATATTTTGGAGGGGGTATTGCACTGAATCTGTAGATTTCTTTGATATTTTATATATCAATTTTCCAAATATATGAACATGGACACCTTCAATTATTTTAGCTTTTTTTCTTTTATTTGCTAAGTGTTT